TGGCCGGATCCAGACATGCAGGCACGTGCAGTTTGTGGCACTACAAATTTGCAGTGTGTGGGCAAAATTCGCTACTAGAAAATCCCAGTACCAAAAAAAAAAGCTGTGAAAAAGTGGCATGTACCACAAGAGCATGTGCCAGTAGACATGGAGGTTCAGTCCTCCAGGGGACACCCTGGCTGCTGGCCAAAGCATCTCCCCTCCTTTAGTTCCCTGGCTCCTTCAGCCCAGCAAGAGCTAAGAAGAGTGGGGAAAATGGTAGTTTTCCAAAGCAGGGCATTTTTCCCCATACCAAACCACATGTGCAGGGGCATGTGCACCAGGAAAAAAGTAGTAGCACAAATTTGTAATGTTACTTTTTTTTCCACTGCAAGCACACATCCCTGCATGTGGGACGCACCCATTAAGTTAAAAATAACAGGTTTTGTGTGCCTGAGAAGAACAATTTTGAAATTTTTACACGTTACCTTAGGTATTTAGATGGAGATGATAACCCCCTCTTTACACTTGTAAATAAAAAAAAATAAAATAAAAAAAGAGAAAAAAAGCTGTATTCTACTGAATCTGGCATACCCACAAATGGACTGAATGGCATTTACTCATCAAATGTAGGAGAAAGAGAGAAATGCTCTTTCCTCATGTTTGGAAAGAACAAGTGAAGCATATCAAAGGAAAAATTAGTCACAATTTTGCAGCTAAGTTCTCACTACACTATTTATTTTATGTAGCTCAACTGCAACAAAATACCAATGTGAAAGCTGGAGACATCTGTCATCCAATCAAGCAAATACAAGCCTACTGGAGAACATTAGACACAACCTTAGGTAAGCAGCCATGGTTATTTTAATTTAGAATACATTAAAATGTCTCCGCTCACCTTTACTATCAGTTACATAAAAAAGATTAAGCTAGCAAATATTCTGCAGATAATTTGCACCACAAAGTCAGAAAACAATTAACCAAAGATTAAACTGACTCAACCAAACTTTTCCAAGCATTTAAGAGTCTGCATTTTACCTTGCACTAACAATTGCACTGAATCTCTACAAACATGGATAAAGAAATAGACTTTGTAGCATACTCTAAAGACGTGCAAACATATGACCACTGAGAAAAAATATTAAAAGGAAAGAAAAAGAAAGGACCATGCAAAGAAAGGTTACTTGTCACTAATTTATAATTTGTCAGGATTGTTTATATAGAACCAGTACTTAGGGATATGCAAACATCTTGGGCTTGATCCAGTGAGCACTGTAGTCAAACTTTAACTTATTTCAATGGGTATTAAATTTGGCCCCTTTGGGGAGCTATATACATGCCCAATGCCTGCTCCAATGCATGCTAATTAGCATGTGTCAGAGCAGACTCCATTAATCAAGTCTGCTGGAGCATACTAATTAGCATACTCCAGTAGCCTCAGCATCTCATGTATTTAGCACCCCAATGGTTCAAAATGACGGGGGTGAATGAGCTGAACAAGCTTTAGTTAAAGCACCCCCACCAAACAAGTTTAACTCAAGCACCCCTTACTGCCATTTTGAAGCATGGGACACTGAACACATGAGATGCTGCAGGCCTCTTAATTACAGCTGCTCCCACGCTCCACCCTGGAGCATGTGTGAAGAAGCCCTTAAGAGCCAACTTTAATTACTTTAGTAATGCATTGACTTTTGGGCCAAGACAAAATGTTCCATAGTAAAAACAGGAATAAAAGAAGTAATGTCTTACTAAATATTGCAACACTGGCTGCAAACCAATTCCTTCTTTCTAATGAAATATCCTTCATAAAAGCTCTAGAGAAACAGATTAGGGAAGTAGATATATTCTAGCAATTGTCTTAACAACACTAGAAGAAACCATCTCCTTTCACACTTTCCTTTATAAAGTACCATTTATGAAAAATTTATGACAAATAACAACCTGAAAGGAGATGGGCCTGTGAAAAATTAGTCAATTAGTTTCCTTAGAATACGAGCTTCTTCAAGGAGGTACCTGACACAGAATTGATGCTATTGCAAATATATAAACAAATTGCAGTTTAAGACAGCCTTCCTGAACTATACTTCAGGTCTAGATGCCAACCACAGAAAGTAATACTGCGTATATCTTCTACAAATCCAAGAGACTTTCTTCCCATTCCTCCAACATACAATCTGACCAGCACTGAAGAATCCATTGTGGATATGCTTCCTGCTTTTCATCAAACCTCCAGCTGCTGAGCAGGCTCAAAAAGAAGTTAACACACACTTTCAAGATCATCTAACTAAAGTGAATATTCTAGACCTTGTGCAATTTAGAGTTAGGTCAGGATCTGGAACAGATGGATGATTTCTGCTATTGCTAACTGGAGGGCAGACAGCTCATTCTCATTTGCCTGAACTACTCTGCAACTACAACTCTGCAGCTGGCTAGGACACTGTGCCCTAATCTTAGTAGGTGGTAACTGTTGCGCCCAGATGCCGGTGCACCCTTGACCTGCGA